ATTTTAAAAGGCATCTCACATCACTGGGGAAACAAACTGTACATTAAATACTATGGGGACACTCAGCTTTATGAACAAAAACATAGCCTCATTTCGTCTCTCCCTCCCTCTCTTCATGTCTCTCTCTCTCTCTTCCTCTCTCTTTCTCTCTCTCTCACACACACACACACACACACACACACACACACACACACATACATTCTTACATACTCCCTCCAGATCAAGAAACTAATTGCAAAAGCAAACTTGTAAGCATATTGGAAGAAAATATGGAACGTATTTATAAGCTTGGTTACTTTCTCATCACTGAGACACAATACCCAACACCCACAAGTTCAGGAAGGATTTACTTTTGCTCATGTTTCAGCCTACAGTCAGTTGGCGGCAAGACAGGTTGGCATGGCAGAGGGGATAGAGGAGGAGAAGCTGTTCGTGTGGCAGTGGGGAAGCAAGAGAATGAAGGAAGGAGCTGGTATAGGATATATACCCTTCCAGCCCTGCCCACAGTGACCCACCTCTTCCAACCGGACCTTACCTCTTACCAGCAAGTCAACTATAATTCCCTCATAATTCAGCCACCTCCCAAAAGCCCTACCTATGATTGCATGAGGCTTTGAAAGGACATCTAGATACAAACCACAGCATTCTGTCCTTAGCCCCCAATCCCCAAAAGACTCATGTGCATCTCTTTGTGCAGAAGGTACTAGGTCCATCTGTGAGTCACCAGAGTCTTAACAGTTTCAGCATTGCTGAAAAGTCCCAAGTCCATAGTATTCTCTAAGGTTTAAGGTAAACTCTTAGCTGTGAGCCCCTGTAAATATCAAAAAGAAGTTAAAACACTGCCTGTGTACAGTGGCACAGGGTAAACATTTCCATTCCAAAAGTGAGGAACAGGGGGTTAGAAACCAGGGCAACCAAAGCAAGACCAAAACCTAGCAGGGCAAACAGTAAATCTGTTTCTTTGTGTCCAGTACCCAGGGTGAGCTGTGGTGAAATATGTACTCTAAAAGGCTTGAGCAGTTCCACCCCTATGCATTGCTGGTGATTTATAGTCCTCATTCCTTCTCTGTTGCATGGGCTTGCATGTGCCTTTCCTCAGATGTTCCGCATTCCTGGCTTCTCCAACTTTCTGGGGTCGCCCCTGCATTTTCAGCTTAACTTTCATAGCATCACACATTCCTCTCAGGTGACATTGGCTGGCCTCAGGCCTTCTGAAATCTGGGTAGATACCTTCCTGGCCCCCAGATTTTGTAAGCCAAGGTCTTCTGCCAGCTTGAGCAGTAACCAGGCCTATTGCCATGGCTCCAGAGGCCCTCAGAGTGCACATGGATGGCTGAGCACTGTGTACCAAATCCTGAGGAGTCAGTGCCTGCCTAAGAGCTGTTTTTGAGCACTGTGCCTTGGAACTGTCTCGTCAAAGAAATTTCCAGCAGGTATGAAGGGTCGGGGGGTCTTGCTAGTCCCTGTGTGCCTGAAGCTGTCTTTTCTACTGTCCTGTTATAAAGTTCAGTATTTGGCTTTTATTTTGTTTTGTTGTTTTCTTGAGATAATGTTTCTGTGTAGTTCAGGTTGGCCTTAAAATCGTTATGTGGCCCTGAATGGCCTGAAATTTAAGGTAATCCTCCTTGTAGACATGGGCCACTATGCCTGGCTAAGTACTTGCCTTCTTTTTCATCTTTTTTCATCTTTTTTGCCACTTCTGTCCAAGACACCACCTTTGTAAGGGCTTCCTTTCTGGCCAACCTGGAAACTTCAGATCTGTTTTTTACTCCTGGCTTTCAGTATAAACCTGGCAGCAAACAATATTTATATTACAGACTGAGCATTAGGCTGCCTTGAAATTTCCTCCACCAGATTCGTCCATCACCCTTAGTCTCACTCTCCTGCAAAGTCTCAGCACATGAGCAAAATGTAGACATATTTTTTGCCGGAGCATAACACATGGCCTGGAGTCAGACTGCCAGTGGGGTTCTTCCTAATTGAAACCTCCTGAGCCTGGTCTTTATCATCTGCCTTTTTATAGGCATTCTGGTCTTCTGACCTCCAACCAGACTCTCTGATCAAACTGTACTTTCAGCATCCTAAGGCTGCTTCTCCATTAGGAATGTCAGAACCTTTCCAGACTCCTCCTGCATACCAATTCCAAAGGTTTCTGAACCACCCAGTCGGGTAGTCACAGCAATGACTCCACTTCGCAGGTACCAAAATCTATCTTAGGCACTTTCTTGTCACTGAGATATAATACCCAACATCCAGAACTTAAAGGAGGAAAGCCTTATTTTGGCTCACATATGTAGAAGTTTCAGTCAGTAGTTCACTGCCTTCAAGGCAGGACAGTGTGGGAGAGGGAAATGGAGGAGGAGAAGCTGCTCATGTCTGAGACAGTCTGGCTATGTGGTCCAGGCTGGCTTTGAACTCACTATGCAGCTGTGACTGGCCTTGAATTCCCAATCCTCCTCCCTCACTCCTAGTGCTGGAATTACAGGTATGTACCACCCCATCCAACTATGCTATTATCCTTTTCTTTATTCCTTTGTATGAAAGATCTCTCCCCCGCTGCCCCCCCCCCCCGGATTTGTATAACATTTCTTGTTTATCAATTGAGCAACTGAGGAATTTGATTGCTATGTCCCTTGGCATAGTTTCATATTTCCTGGACTTTGTTTCTTATATATATATACTTGAGTAGTTTGAACTACAGTAGTCTACCTTTATCCACAGGGGCATGTTCCAAGATGTTTCAAGGATTTCTGAAACTGTAAATATATAAGACTTTGTTTCTTATATATATATACTTGGACTTTGTTTCTTATATATATATACTTGAGTTGTTTGAACTACAGTAGTCTACCTTTATCCACAGGGGCATGTTCCAAGATGTTTCAAGGATTTCTGAAACTGTAAATATTATCAAACCCTATATAAACTGCCTTTTTTCCTATCCATGCATACTTGTGGTGAATTTTAATTTATAAATTAGGCATAGTGAAAAAATTGGCAACAGTAATTAACAGTAAAAAGTTATAACAGTATACCATACTAAAAGTTATTTCAAGCTTGGGAATTATTTCTGGAATTTTCCATTTGACATTGTCAGACCTTCCTTGACTGCACATAACTGAAACTGTTGAAATCGTGGGTAAGAGAGAATGCCAATACTTACTGTATTACTTATATTTTTAGGCTAAATACTAATTAGTTTTCACATTTTGATTTTGTTTTCAAGCCCTTTTATACATTTTTACACAGAAACAATAGTTTGACAAAAGTTTTGTTATGTAATTCTTAATTAATTTGGTATTCACGTATTTGTGCAACTTGTACTTCAGACCAAGATCAAGTAACATCCCTATCCTTTTTTGATTTAAGAACAGGGTCTCACTAAATTGCTAACTTGCCTAGGGTGGGCTTGACAGAATCTTTCTTGCCCTCTTCTTAGTCTCATGGTAATAGCCGGAAGTCCTTAAAATTCTTTGCTTGCAGCTGCACCGCTCTAATCTCTGCCTCTTGTCACATGCCTCTTTGTGTCCTTGTTCTTATTAGGACATGCTATGCTAAAGGCTCTAACCTGTGCCCCCTTAGGGTGTGCTATCTGAGGGGGCCCTGTTTCCAAATAGGATCACTTTTTGAGGTACTGGGAGTTAGGACTTTAATATACCAGGGAATGGGGGTACAATTCAACTAATAACAAAAGTAAACAATGTAAGTGAATTCTATGATATTTTAGAACAAGAGTTGGCAAACGGACCGTATACCAAATCCAGCTTGTGGTCCATTGTAATAAGTAACATTTTATTGAAACAGCCTTGCCCATTTATTTGAACATTGTCTCTGAAGGCTTTTGTACTTCAGTAGCAGAGTTGGCTTGTTGCAACAGAGAACTTAAGCCTGGCCCTTCATGTAAAATATTTGTCAGCCTACTAGAGACAATCTTAAGTGCTATGGGGGAAAAACACAGGAAAGGGAAGCAGAAGAAGCAACATAGGACAGTTGGGGAACAGTGCCATGAGAAAGGGAATTTGAGCAAAGATTACAAGGAATTAATCTGTGTATTATATGTCCAGTGTGTAACATGAAGTGAAAAAAAGCAAGTAACAAAACACTCATCACTTTTGTGATCATATCTTTGTAAAGTGTGAAAGTATATATTTAAACAAGATAAAGTTAGGATATATGCACAGAACATTTTGCAAGAGTGTCCCCCCAACACCAACATGCTCATTTAGTTATCTCTAGGTGGGATCATAGTGCTTTCACATGACATGGGACTTTCACGTGACAGTTTTCCTTCTTACTTGAAAATTTAAAAATATTGTCATAAATTCAATTCCTTATGTTCTTAAATTATATTTAAGGTTTATTTTAGAGGAAACAATATTGGAGGGTTTGATTTCTTACTTAAGTTTTAAGTTACTATATTTCAAAAAGGAGCCACAATTACTTCCTGCTAAAATTTAACCTATGACTGAGCAAATCTCAAAATGAATTTTTATCTTTATATGCATAGAATGGTTTAACAGTTGAAGAATTAGCAGCTTTGATTTATTGCTAGTAGAAGACAAAAGATATGATTCTGTTAAAGAATTGCTTTTATCACATTTAACAGAATGTCCCTTGGTAGTTAGACAGGCATTGGGGAATTGAATTAGGCGTGGCTGAACCTTAGTATTTGCAAGTGTGGTATCAAAGCAGAACACTACGTGATTGTGGTTGTAGCTACTGAAGCTGAAACAGGAGGACCCCTTGAGCCCAGTAGTTTGTGACCAGCCTGGGCAACATAGTGAAACTCTATCTCAAAAAACCACAAACTCACATTAGCACGAGACTGTCTGAATAATCTTACACAAGTGTTTATGGAATTATTTTATTAAGTTCAGGCAATCTCTAAAATGTTATGCTTTGTGCAAATCTGAAAGCCTTATATTAGACAGGGATTTTAAAGGCACATATATAAAATATTATCAAAGTCAGTTTTTTGAACAAGGCTCTTCTGTCTTTAGAGCAAGATCCAATCAAAAGAATGTGACATTTGGAGATAAAAACCTGAGTTTCAGATCCCCGCTCCATTACATACTAATACTGTCATTTGGGTAAGTACCTTGTCTGATATTTTTTTCTTTTATAAAAATCTAGTAAATAATCTCTGCCCTATCTACCTGCTTATCTGGGATATTAAGAGAAATAAGTGAAATCATGCACATAAATGCATTTTTTGTGCATGAAACAGTATCCAAATATTGGTTGTAATGAATTCAAAATTAGTATTAATTGAAGAGGGGAAAGAGTAGATAATTTTGTAAATAATTATTTTCATGATTGGCTAATGTAAGTTTGGCTAACTTTTTGCAAAATTTATTTAAATTAGCAATGTACTGTAAAACATAACAGAAATTTCCTTTGTCCTGATGCCTCAAATTACTCAGTAAATGTGTTTGCTTTCTTTTTTTCCAGTTAGAGTTTATTTATTCTTCTACGATTATTGCAATACTCTTACTATAGTGACAAAAGTGATATTGGTACTCTACCTTATGGTCAGTGTAAATCTGATGTATTATTCATGGTTTTTCATTCTGTTCTTGGGTTAAATTAAAAAGAAAATGGACGTAAATTGAAAAATCACAAGCATAGGCAGTAAAAATAACTTACAAGGGGCACAGCTATTAAATATCTGTCAATTTTCTCTGCACTGCATTTTCTCCCACTTGGGAAAGCCCATGAAAATGAGAGTGAACAACTGTAAGTTATCTTGTATTTGTTATTTTTAAAGTAAATTGTAAATGTTGATATTTTAACATTAATAGTAGCAAATTATTTATGACACATCTTATAGCTCCTTTGAATGTTATTATGTTGATCCACCATCATTGAGGACTGCTATAGAAGAATCGCTCAGTTCTGAGATAAACCGTTCCTGTATCTGTGACTGCTAGTCATGTTTTAAGTTTGCATAGAAGATTCTGTAAGACATGAGAGAAGGAGTGCTATTGAGTTTTAAATTGACTTTTTTGGGGTTTTGTTTCATTGTTTTGTCTTTTTGAGACAGGGTCTCAGTATGCAGTTCAGGCTGGTCTTGAGCTCACCTTGTAGCCCAGGCTGGTCTTGAACTCCCGACGATCCTCCTGCCTCAGCCTCCCAAGTGCTGGGATTACAAGTGTGCACCACTATGCCCGGCTGAGTTTTAAATTGAGAGTCTGCTGTCAATACTATAGATCGAAAGGGAAAAATAAACAAAAGATGACAATTCTGTCCATTGTAAAGAGATAAGCTCCTACATGCAACTAACTACAGGGTACATATTATTTTATAAAGGCTTCTGTGTCTCCATCTGTTAGATGCCTCAGACAGATACTTTTTCCTCACATCTCAATGACAGTCTTTCAAATGCAGGAAACCCTGCTTTCTGTTAACACGTGAAGCCCCTTTGCCTGTTTTTACTTACGTCTTGTGGCATTGCTCGGTTAAATCTGACTGCTTTGAAGTAATCATAAATATTTTCATGGACTTCTTGTTTTTGAGTTTTGTCATAAGAATAGTATGGCAGCCAGGCGTGGTGGCTCATGCCTGTAATTCCAGCACCCTGGGAAGCTGAGGCAGGCAGACTGCAAGAGCAAGTCCAGACTGGGCAACCTAGGTACTTAGTGAGGGCTGTCTCAAAATAAAAAGGGCAAAGGATAGAGCTCAGCATGAAGGCCTTGATTTCAATCCCAAAGAATGTGGGGGGACAATAGAAAAATTGCCAGTTTTCTTGAACTGTGCAGAGATCTCTAAAATGTGTGAAGGGACATGGTGAGTGTTCAGGAAAGCGTGACATACTGTACCAGTATTCTCAGATACTGTATTTTGTTTTGTTTTGTTTCGATGAGCAGTTAAACAGTGGTAGATTCTTCTAGTGTGGGGCTGTTGGTTCTTTCAGTGCTACGTGTGTGTTATGTTTTTACCTTGCTGGCAGTCAAGCCCAGGAGCATGCACATACGCACGTGCACGTCAGCGAGGGCTGTACCACTGAACCTCGTCCTCAGCCCTAAGGTGAGGGTAAAGTTGGGTAGTAAGGAATGAAACAGGTAGAAGAAAATGGCTCCTGTTACTTAGGTCTTTTGTATATCTACTCCTAATGCAGTCTTAACAGCTCATTCTCAAATACTTTTGTGCAGAATGACTGCTACAGATTAGGAGGTACATAAAGTTAAGTTAGGATATATATTTAATGAAGCAGCAGTCTAGAAGTTTTTTTTAGGGAAAGAGTTTACAAAAGTTTTTTCTGTTATTTGTTCCTTTGTTTGTGGTACTAGTATCCAGGGCTTATCAGTCATGCCACATGTGGTCCACTCAGCCACATCCCCTCCCCCTACTTTTTAAATCTTATTTTGATACAAGATCTTGCTCTCTTGCCCAGGCTGGCCCTGAACTTGTGATCCTCCTGCCTCAGCCTCCCAAGTAGTTAGAATTACAAATGCATACACTGTACCTGGCCACATTAAGTATTTTTAAATTTAAAATGTATATGTTTTTTGGAAAAAATACTAAAGTCACATTGATACCCCACAGGCAGGTGTAAAGAGTATATGGTAGAGAGTACCCCTCCTGCCCTTGTCCCTCACCTATTGTCCATTTTTTTATTTGCTATGTGTATGCTATGTTTGGGTATACTATAATTTTTACCAACAGTAGCACCCTATCAGGAGCTTTAGGTTATTTCAGTTTTTTGCTATTAGGAACAATGTTGCAGTTAAAAACTTTTTACATGTGTTATGTTGCTCATATCTATTAGGATAAAACAACTAGAAGTAGAATCATGAGGGTCAAATGTATGTATTTTAGTTTTAACTGATATTGCAGTATACCTCATCTGACTGCACACTTTGGGTAGGTGTGTTTGTTTCCCTTTCAGAAGGAGGTCTGATTTACAAACAATGTGGTTTTGAGTGTACAGTTTACTAGGAAGCCTGTTCAGTGTACAATGTAAGCTGTGAATGTGTAACAGCACCTTTATTTGCTTAGTCTCACAACACTACTGATAACTTTCTGGGTTTTGTATTTTTGCCAACACTGTATAGATAAGAACTATATAGGGTAGTTTTGATTTGCTTTTGTTTACTTTCTTATTAAGTATATCTTACATACTTTAAAGTCCAGAACTCCTCAGTGTTTATAACTCAGAGAATTTTTGTCATTGTGTAGATTGAGATACAGAACATGTCCAGGACCTGGAAGGCTCCCTTTTGTCTTCTTCCCACTAAAAAAGAAATCTGCTATTCTGACCTTTATCACCAAAGTTAATTTTGCTTATTTATGAACTTCATATAAAGGAAATCATGCAGAATGTACTTCTACATGTCTGGTTTCCTCTGTGATATTATGGGAGGTTCATTCATGTTCAGGCACTTATAAGTTATTCTTACTCATTGCCGTGACTCAGCTACTTGAATGTACCACAGTTTGTTCTAGTAGTTACGGGTATTTGGCTTTTTCTTCTTTTCCATCTTTTAGTTTTTGTGCTGAGGTTTGATTTGGGCCTATATACATGCTCATCATATGCTCTACTGTTGGCCTATATGTCCAGTTTTTAGGGAACACTATTATATATATCTTTTGGAAGAGTTAATGATTTTTTTTGACTGTACAGTTAACTGATTTTTGACAGTTAACTGATTTTTTTTGACTATACACCTTGGTCTGTGCAGTTTTTGTTTCATTATAGTTGATGTCTAACTTATATAAATACTAAAATTTACCCGTTGGTAGTGTTCAATCTGATAGGAAACCCATGGGTCTTTTATGCATTGCTTCATGTCTTATGACTGAAAGTCCTGGCTGCCTTTTCCCTAAACTATCTCTTCAAGGGTGTTGGAAGATAGAAGCGTTATCTCTCTGATAGCAGAGGACAGGTTTGCTTGGAACCTGGGAAGGTCAAGATAATGCTTTCCTCCAAGGTAAAGGGCAGGACTTTTTCCTGCTCATTTTTATAGATGCAGGCTCCTTAAGCTCAGTCACCTCACTCTTCACAGTGCTGTCAGCACAAGGAAGTTCTGATACTTTGCTGCTACTGTTAAAAGTAAAGTCTTTTGTCTTTGACTCAAAAGTCTTACTTTTTGCCAGTATCCATGAAATATGGCTTGCTAACTTACTAGCCAATAAGGTGAAATCTCAGATCTTTGCCATTCTTTTTGTTGGTGTTGTTGTGTTGTGTTGTGTTGTTTTTGTTTGCTTTTTGAGACAGTGCCTTGCTCTGTAGTTCAGGTCAGCCGGCTGGCCTCAGGTCCATGGCAATCCTCCCTGCCTCAGCCTCTCAAGTATAAGGGTTACAGGTGTGCATCACAACACCCACCAGCCTTTTGTCATTCTTTTTTTTTTTTTTTTTTTTTAGTTTTTTTGGTTTTTCTCCGGTACCAGGAACCGAACTCAAGACCTTGCGCTTGCCAGGCAAGCGCTTTTGCCGCTGAGCTAAATCCCCAGTCCCTCCTTTTGTCATTCTTGATGCAATTCAATGAATAGTGACAGATGTGTAAAGTTTATAGTATTGCCACAATCAGGTCAGAGTATTTCCATCACACTGAGTAGTTCCTTTGTGCACCTTGTCTGCTTCAGCTGTAGGAAGCCTGTGATCTCCTGTCACCTTAGGCCATTTCTAAAATTTCTTACAAAATAGAATATATAATACATAGCTTGGTGTGGGTTTTTTTTTTTTTTTTTGTCATTTTGAGACAGTCTCAGTATGTAGTACAGGCTGTCCTTGAACTCACTTTGTAGCCCAGACTGGCATCAAACTCTTGGCGATCCTCCTGCCTCAGCCTCCTGAGTTCTGGGATTCCAGGTGTGCGCCACCACGCCAGGCAAGGGTTTTTTTCCCCCTTTTTTTCGTTTTTGGTACTGGCAATCTAACTCAGTGCCTTGAGCTTGCCAGGCAGACACTGCACCGCTGAGCTACATCTCCGGCCCATGCCTGACTTCTTAATACTTTTGAGATTCATTCATACTGTTACATGTGCATTATCAGTAATTCATTCCTATCTCTTCTGAGTGCTGTCCTACCATATGAGCATGCCTTAATTTTGATATTTATCTGTTCTTTCACCAACTAACAGACGTTTGAGTTATTTCTGGTGTGAAGTTACTATGAATAAAGCTGCTATGAGCATTTGAGTATGTCTTTATATGGACATATATTTCTATATTTCTTGGGTACGTTCATAGATGTAGAAATACCGAGTCTTTCGGTATGCTTTTAACTTGGTACAGAACTGCCAGATTGTTTTTCAGAGTGTCTGTATAATTTTTAATTCCTGTTTTTTGGTTTCTTTTTACTTTAAAGAGAAAAAAATAACAATAAAACAGAGTTTCAAAGCAGGTTAGTAGGACAGCTACAATAATTAGTACATTGTGTATTGTTGTCTTCAGAGTAGTTATTCAGAGTACAAGATATAGGCACCATATTTTGTCCAGACAATATTAGCACAAACCTTTCTTTTCAATAAACTAAGAGAAACTAGTTGTATAACTATCTTAACTATCTTGTGTATATATTTTTTCTTTTTTTCTTTCTTCCTTTCCCCTTTCTCCCATCACAGTTTGTCTTTTCTTTTGAACAGTTTCTTCCCAATTCACAATATCCACTATACATTTTGGACCTTATTTACTCATTCAGTTTCTTACCCTAGTGAGACAAAATGATGTGTACACATATGGATCGGATTTGTTTCACTTATGGGTATGGTCTCGAGTTGCATCCGTTTACCTGTAAAGTCTCCAGTTTATCCTGCTTTATGGCTGAGTAGTACTGCATTATATGGAAAGACCACATCTTTTTTATCCATTTCTCAGTTGATGGCATTTGGGTTGTTTCCAAGATTTATCTATTACAAATTGTGCTGCGATAAACATGGGTGCATGTATATCACTGTGGTATGATCTTTTTAATTCTGGGAAGATATCCAGAAGGGAATAGTTGGGTCAAATGGGATGTCCAATCCTAGTTTTTGAGGAATTTCCACCCTGATTTCCACAGTGGTTGCACCATCTACACTCCCACCAATAGTGAAGAAGAGTTCCTTTTCCCGACAGCCCTGCCAGCATTTATTATTAGTTGATTTCTTGACGATAGCCATTTCTGGGGTGAGATGGAATCTCAGTGTTGTTTTAATATGCATCTCTCACATGACCAATGATGTTGAACATTTTTTCATATATTTATTTGCCATTAGTATTTCTTCATCTGGGAAGTGTGCATTCATCTCAGATGCCCACTTTTGGATTGGGTCTTTGAATCTGGGGGGTCTGAGTTTTTTGAGTTCTTTATATGTTCTAGATACAAGTCCTTTGAGGGACAACTGGCTGTAATTTTTTCCCACTCCATGGGTTTTCTTTTCACTCCGTTGGTAATTTCTTTTGTTGTACAAAAGCTTTTTAATAAGGTGAGATCCCATTTGTTCATTCTTTATAACATCTTCCTTGTAGTATGGGCTTTGTTCATGAAATTTCTGCCTACACCTGTGTCTTTGAGATTTTTGCCTATTTTCTCTTCCAGTAAATTTAGTGTTTCTATTTTAATATTTAGATCCTTGATCCATTTTGACTTGAGTTTAGTGCATGCTGATAGACATGGGTCTAGCTTTCGTCTTTGGCATATGGAAAGTCTAAAATGATTTTTCTAGCACCATTTATTAAAGAGACTATCTTTTTTCCAGTAATATGTTTTTTTTTTTTTTAACTTCTCATTTTGGGTGAGTTTGAAAGTATCTTTTTATATATTTTAGTTATTTGTGTTTCCTTTTCAATAACTCAAGTCTGTTTCCTGGTTTTCTACTTAGGTATTAGAATTTTTTAGTAAATTGTAGGCATTCTTCATCTGTTAGAACATATTTTTTAGTAATGCTATGAGTTACAAACATATTTGTCCAGTGTATTCTTTTTATTTTTTTGTCAAGTATATTTTGAGGTTGCTTGCAGATTACTTGCAGCGGGTTTTGCCAGGCAGAAATCTCTCAATCTTATAGTTGTTTACTAATGTATAGGCTTACCATAATAAAGACATTTTTAAAATTAAGTTTAAAGTATAAATTATGTTTTCCAGAAGTTTCCTATGGCCATATCTTTAGTGGGAATAGCAAAATACTCTGAGGACACAATTTCTGCATTCTTGTAGAAATTGTACCACCTCTATACAGTAGAAACAAGATTGTTTTAGGTTATGTATAAGAGAAAAATACTAAAAATAATATTACATGTGTCTGTTACAGAAATACGTATTCAAGATGATGCTGCAGATTTGGCTTGTACAAGCTTTGGTTGTTTTCCTCACCACTCAATGTATAGGTAAGGCTCACAGAATACCCTTCCCTCTAACTCCACAAATGTGTTTGTAGAATTTTATGTACTTTATATTAAGCTTATGTTTTAATATGATTATGCTCATATTTCTTTCTAGTGTCATAATTGGGAGAATAAATTTGACTTAAAATTATTTAGCTCAGTGGCACAATGCCTGCCTGGCAAGTGTAAGGTCATGAGTTCGTCCTGTGCTGCCCCTGTTTTCAGCTTCTGAGGGGATGAGGAGGAGCAGGAATGGTAGAGGAGAAATCAGAAATGTGTGTGGTTTAATCGTGGAAATGTGACATCTGGGGCTCCAGTTAGTGTGCTGTTAACTTTGTATCTGGTCTGGATAACTGGATGGGAGCGGTGCTGTTAGCAAAGGCAGAGAAGTAAGAATAAAAATATGTTTGAAAGAGACTGCAATGCTGCATATAGTTCTAGAAATATTTACTTTAAAATACCTATGGGCGGGGCCAGCATTACCTTTGTACCAAAATCAGACAAGAAACACAAGAGAAACTGGGCATGGTGGTGCATGGCTGTAATCTCAGCAGCACTCAGGAGGCTGAGGCAGGAGGGTTGCTTGAGTTTGAGGCAAGCCTGGGCTACATAATATAATATATTCAAGGCCAGCCCGAGTTACATAGCAATACCCTGTCTCCAAAATAATAATAATAGTAATACTAATACTAATACTAATAATAATAATAGAGAAATTCAGTCCTGTTTTGGAGGGGGTGCTCAGGTCAAAGTCAGGGTCAAAGTCAGGGTCTCACCATGTGCTAGGCAAACAGTCTCCCAGTGGGTTCTAGTACATACCTTACTCAGCCTGTTTTCATATTCTCAAAAATGTTGTTCCTTTGCAGGTGAACTTGTGGATACATGTGGTGTTATCAGCCCTGAATCTCCAGTTATACAACATGGTTCTAATTTCACCGCATTTTGTGTGTTAAATGAAAAATGTATGAGTATTTATGAAGTAAATGCTTCTCACATTATCTGGAAAGCAAACCGTGTTCTCATTCCTAAGGAACAATACACCATCATCAATACAACAACATCCAGTGTCACCTTTACAAATACCAGTTTAACAAACGTCCAGCTTATATGCAACATTCTTGCATTCGGACAGATTGAGATGAATATCTATGGAGTCAGAATGCGAACAGGCTGTAAGTTTAGTTTTTATCTTATTTCAGGGTTTGCCATGACTGGTGAAGTACCATTCTATTGGTGTCTGGTAGCCATTATGAAATGCAGTAATTGGTGGGCTCAGTGACATTTAGACATATTAAAAAAAAAAAAAAATTAGAGGTAGAACCCACATTTGCATTGTTAATACACAGAAATCCTGAAGAATCACATGATTTTTATCTCTTTCCCCAAAGTTAAATATCTGGCAGTTTTCTAGAAAAGTATTTTGACCCGAGCCCCCAAAACATACTGATTTAAAATCTGTGAATGCATTCGTATGTTCGGTACCACTTAATTGCTAAGAAAATGCACAAATAAAGTAGCTACCTGGAGAAGATGAATAACTACTAAAGAAAATCCTTCTTAAAGGTCATAGTAAAGAATATAAACTATAGGCCTAATGAGTGTTAATCAGATTTGTGCATCACCCGAACTTTATGATTTCAGCGTTTACCTTTCTTCCAGAGTTTGGACCTTTAATCCCACTACTCAGAGGCTGATGCAGGAGGCTTACCCTGAGCTTAAGGCCAGGCTGGGCTACATAGTGAGTTCAGTGCCCACCTGAACTGCGTAGCAAGACCCTAACTCAAAAAAAAAAAAAACAAAGTTTGGGAAAGCAGCATATAAATGAATTATTTTGTGTCTATTTAATTGCCTCTTACACATGTAAATATTAGGTTTTTAAAATATGCTTAATGGAGAAGTTGTTCATATTTTTATCCAGTTATGAATGAAAGTTGACTTTCATGTAGAAAGTTAGTGTGAAACAAACTGCTAATAACAGTTACAATAGAAAATACATAATTACTGCCGGAAAAGAAGTTTAGGAGTTTAAATAGAAATTAACTTTTTAGTCACCAGTCTTTCATTGGGTATAGTTTTGTTTGGGGTTTGTTTTTTTATCTAATTTAGATATGATTTAGGTGGTATATTAATTGGGTAATATTTGTGAATACAGAGGTCTTTGAAAATGGCTAATTATTTCCTTTTAGTTCCTCCAGAAAAACCTAAAAATTTGACTTGCATTGTGAATGAAGGAAAGAGGATGATGTGCCAGTGGGACCCTGGGAGGGAAACACACTTGGAAACAAATTTCACTGTAAAGTCTGAGTGGTGAGTGATTTTTAAGTTTCTTCTGTGTTGGATCTATTAAGTTAGACACTTCTGCCAGAACTTTTATTTTGCCAAACAATAATACTGAATATAAACTTTAAAACATTTTAAAGTTTTATTTGGGAACATATCAAATACATATGTGGAAGTAGGAAGAATTATATGACAAAACTCATTCTCACCTTCAACAGCAGTCAGCTCCTGACCAGTCTTCTTTGTTTGTGTCCATCCCTTGTCCTGAAGAAAATCTAACACATATTCCATTCATAAATATCTCAGCACCTATCTCTAAAAGCTAAGGGCTTTAAAAAATCGTAACCTGTTCTATGGTTAAAGCCAAATAATTTTTAAATAATGTAATATCAGAGTTTTAGGTAGTACATTTTAAATTTTCCCATTTAAATTTCCCCAGATCCAAAGAAACTCTGTACATTGCAGATTTGTATTTCTCGTAAGTCTCTGTCTCTCTCTCTGTCTGGGATTAGGTTTTGTTTTTTGTTTTGGGGGAGTTTTTGAGAGAGTTTCACTATGTAGGTCAGACTGGCCTTAAACTCACTATGTAGCCTCGGCTGGCCTCAAATTCACAATGATCCTCCTGCCTCAGCCTCCCAAGTGCTGGGATTACAGATCCCATCACCATGTCCAGCTTTTTATTATGGTTTTTTGAGACTGGGTATCACTGTGTAATTCAGACTTGGCCTTGGACTCCTTACATAGCCCCAGATGACCTGCAACTCAGTGCTTCTCCTGCCTCAGCCTCCCAAGTGCTGGGATTACAGGCATGTGCCACCATGTCCAGCTTGATTTGTTGTAAATCTCTCTTAAATGCTAAATTTTCCTGCTGCTTTCTCCTCTCCCCGCACTGGAATTCAGTTTTTAAAGTAAGTTATACATTGTTCAGTTTGAGTTTGATTTTTTTTTCCCCCAAAATAATATTTCATACAGGTGGTATGTACTTTTGAGAGGAACCACTGCATAATGTTTTGTTTTTTCTGGTACTAAGACTGAGCAATGATTTCAGATGTTGTCAGCCACACTCATTTTGTACAAAAGTTTCCTGTCAATGTATTTTTCCTTTTCTTTCTTTTTGCCGTACCAGGGATTGAACTTGGGTGTTGTACATGCTAGGCAAGTACTCCACCACTGGATTACATCCCTACCGTTCTGTTTTATTTTGAGAGGTCTACTAAGTTGGCCAGGCTAGAGTCAAACTTGTCACCCTTCTGCCTCAGCCTCCTGAGTAGCTGGAATTGTAGGCATGCACTACCATTCCCAGCTTAGTATTTTTCAAACCTAAAAATGTTGAAAGAACTCTGCCGTGAACACTCATACATCCCCATCATCTACAATTAAATCTACAATTAAAATATCAGCGTTTACTTTGTTACTTTTCTCTGCGTCCTTCTCCATCTTTCCGTCCTTCTCTTTCAGTGCATTTCAAAGTGGGTACAGGTATGAGTATATTTTATCTTGAAGCACTTCAGTATTGAGATGGGTAAATAAAATTAAATAGTTTCTTTCTAGGTAAATTTACATATAGTGAAAACATTGCTCTTCAGTGTATCATTGAGTGAGGTTGTCGAGTGTATAACCGTATCTCAGCCCTAACAAAGTGAACATTACTAGTGCATCCAGAAAGTTCTCTTGTGCTCCTTCAGTCAGTCCCAGCTCCCACTCATCCCATATAAGCAACACTGTCTCTGATTTTCTTCATCATGGGGTTTTTTTTGCTTATTATAGAACAACAGTGGCAAACCTATGGCAAACATGTTACTGTGTTTCTTTTACAACCAAAGCTGTTAATGTGGAGTTGTTTTTCCTAAACTAAAACCTCAGTATTCAACTTCAGTCACAGCATTGGCACTTTCTGATAAATAAGTGGGCTTTTGGTGGCAGTTTAGCACTTGGTCTCAAAAGGTTTGTCACCACTGTCACAGAACACTGTATAAATGTGATTACACAGCATGTACTCTTTTATGAACTTGTTACAACATAGTACAGTGATTCTTAGACTGGACCGTAGTGCGTGTCAGTCGTTTTTCCCCTGAAGATTTAAGCAGTCAGTAGTGATCATTATTTATATATGTTACAAAATCATGTGGTTTTTGTTTTTTTTTAAAGACAAAATACTTGAAAGAAAAACTTTTCTTTAACTTTGGGAACCCTCCAGAACAGTTCAGATAGGAAATACAAAATGGTAGTAATATTTCCCTTTTACTACCACTTTTGTTTTGTTTGTGGTACTGGGGATTGAACCAGAGATCATCACACTGAGCCACATCCCTAGCCCTTTTCTATCTTTTTGAGATAGGGTTTCCCCAAATCAACAGTGGCGAACCTATAGCACACATGCAGCCGCCAGCTGTTTGTTATTGTTGAAAGCTCTAAAAGGTTCACCAGCACTGCCCTAAGTTGTTTAGGCTGGCCTCGAACTTGCAGTCCTCCTGCCTTGACCTGCCAGAGTGCTGAGATTATGTGCATGTGCTGCCTCACCTGACTTTATTATCAGTTTTATAATGATTCTTTAGCATCCGAAAAGGTAATGAGGATTTCCTTCCTCATTATGAATTCATATTTAAACATATGTGATGTGTTTCAATCTATTTTGGTTATTATTCTTACTGTTGCTTATACTGTCTCATGTTTGGTTAGTGGGAGATTGGGTCATGCATCCTTTTAACACAATTGCATTAGTCTGTAAAGCTTTCTAGATTTCTTTCTTTTTTTTGTTTGAGACAGGGTCTCACTACGTAGTGCATGCTGGCCTCGAAGTCACTTATGTAAGCCCAGCCTGCCTTTGAACTCACAGCAATCCTCCCACCTCCCAACTTACTAGATTTTTGTGTGACATTTTCCAGGTTCATCCTACATATAGTCTCCTTACTATACATTTCTCTTCCAGACCTGGGCCCAACCATTTCTCAAGGATCTCTGGTTTTCTTTAATTGAAATACTATTTAGAAACCACAATCTGGGTGCCAGAAGAACTCATTGTTACCAGATTGTCCTTGTTTCTTGGCTTTTCCAGTGGAAAGAGCTAGGAAATGTTTTGTGGATTAAGATAAAATACATCTTGAACTCATATTGATATTTTTGATTTAAAACCGGGTCCACAGGTTCTTTTTTTTTTTTTTTTGAGACAAGGTCTCGCAGTATAGCTCAGGTTGGCCACAAACTTGCAGCAATCCTCCTGCCTCAGTCTCCTGGTTTTTTTCTTTTTTGTGTGTGTGTGGTTTGGTTTTTTTTGGTTTTTTTTTGTGTGTGTGTGTGTGTGTGTGTGTGTGTTTGAGACAGTGTCTCGCTATGCAGTTCCAGCTGGCCTTGAGCTCACTTTGTAACCCAGGCTGGTCTCGAACTCGTAACGATCCTCCTGCCTCAGCCTCCTGAGTGCTAGAATTACAGGTGTGCGCCACCACGCCCAGCTCACAGGTTCTTTTTATATACTTTTTTTACAACTTTAATTCACCCAACAGCTATGTCTCCTTTCTTCTGCACTAAAAACCCTAGTTCCCAACATCACCAGCTAATTTTTCATTTACTACATCCCCCAGTAAACACAACTTCAGAACAACAATGCCACTATCAGCACCAACAGTGTGGTTCCTAAAAACAATTTTAAAATTGTTTTCCACAAAAGATGTGTATTTTAAAGTTATTTGAAGTAGTTCCTTTGTGTGGTTTTACCACAGACTCAGTGCATAAATTAGTGTGTTTTAGTTTGCTTTTGCTTTTTAAAAATTCTTAGCAATTACATAAAATAGTATATTATCCCCCCAAAGTCAAATATTTGAAGTATATATCGAGAGAAGTCTGGTTTCTATCCTTATCTCTGCTGCTTTCCTTCCTTCTTCAGGATGTTACCCCTTTTTTTGCTTTGTTTTACTTTTGAAAACTTCAACTACAAATATTTTAATTGAGGCATAGTTTATACACCTATACGTGAATAGAGTGGTATTACTTGAAACCATCTGTGGTGGTAGAAATCAGGTAGCTGCCTGAGTTGGACTAGAAAGCGTGTGAGGAGCTTTTCTGTTTGTTCTGCTGTCATCTTCTAGCACAGTGTGCTCAGGAAAGCACACTGCACTCATACATCAGGTTCAGCTCCTTGTCAGAAGCTTAACCTTTTACAGAAAGGGTTCTAGAGGAGGACATTGCCTTAATAAGTACAGTGGGACAGTACGGAGTCTTTCAGGAAAGGAGGATAACAGTATAGTAGTTCTCGTTTATCCATGGTTTCAGTTATTAAATGGAGAATTCCAGAAATAAACAACTTCTAAGTTTTAAATTATATACAGCTCTGAGTAGCTTGATGCAGTCTCAGACTGCTCCCCTCCATTCTGCCCAGGGAGTGACTCACCCCTTTGTCTGGCATGTCCATGCTGTGTAGCTGCCTGCCTGTCAGTCACTTGGTTGCCGCCCTAGTTATCAGAAGGACTTCAGTGATATCACAGTGTTTGTGTAAAGTGACACTTACTGTGCTTAATACTGCCCCCAAGCACAAGAGTAATGATACTGACAATTTGGATATGTCCAAAAGAAGCTGTACAGTATTTCCTTAAGTAAAAAGGTAAAAGTTCTCTGATAAGAAAAGAAAACAAAATATGCTTGGGGCTGCTAGAGCAAAGAACACGTTTTCTACCTGTAAAAATGTTGAAGAAGTCTTTGCTAGTTTTGTTTTCACACCTCAAACCACAAAAGTTACAGCCACAGTGCTTAATGAAGGTTATTTAAGAAAAAGGCATTAAATTTGTGCATGGATGACATGAACAAAAAGCATATTCTGGTTAATGGCAACGTGTTGCTCCGTAAGAAAACTTCAGCAAGTGACCCTAAGTCATTTACGACGTGTAAGGGATGCCTGTGCAGACTCAGTATTAGACTGGGCTGCATCTGCCTATGAAGAAGCTGCTGCGACATTTCCAGCAGAGTCGAAATCAACCAAGGAGAAGGGTTACCATCTGGAAGAAGATGCCCACTGGAACCTACATTCGTTAAGGAGCAAAGGAACCACCAGGGCATGAAACATAGAAGGACAGATTAACTCTGCACAGTGTGACCACCCTTCAGGCATGTGATAAAAAAGCCTAATGTACTAGATGAGTGATGAACCTGTATGTTTTCATCAAAAATAAAAAATTTCTGCCTTCCTTCTGGCAGCAGAATCAGAAAATGTGGGTGACAGTCATGTTGTTTATAGAATGGTTCCCTCAATTCTTTGTCCCAGAAGTAAAAAAGAAATCCTTAGAAGAGGAAGGGTTGGAATTTGAAGTCATATTAATAATAAACAGTGCATTAGCCAGACATAGTGGTGCACGTCTGTAATCCCAGCACTTGGGAGGCTGAGGCAGGAGGATCATTGCAAGTTTGAGGACAGCCTGGGCTACAAAGTGAGCTCAAGGGTAGCCTGAACTACATAGTGAGACCCTGTCTCAAAAAGAAAAAAAAAAAAAAAAACAGAAAAACAGTGCATCTGCTCATTTTAAATGTTTGTCACAAAAATGAACCAACAAGGTGGTATTTTTGCCTCCAAATATACTTGCATTGTGTCAGTCCTAGACCAGAGAATCCTTTGGTTTGTCAGGTCCAAAATGCCCACCTGGTATTTGATTACATCTAATTAGCAATTGATGCAGACTCTGATTTGTACATAATGCAGTGTTGGAAATCATTCACTATTGCTAATGCAATAATACCCATCAACACTGCAGTGGGTGAATTGAAAACCAGAAACTGTAAATGCCCACAGGAAGAATTTATAGGGTGAAGCTGTGAATGCCGTTAAAGGCTTCTCAGGGAAGTTGGAAAATCTTTCATGCTGTGAGATAATTTGGTGAAAGGTTTACCAACACAGTTGATGACGAAGTAGAACAGTATACTAAAGGTTGTTGAGAAATATTAACAGATGAGTAATCAGAAGAACTTGTTCAGTCATCTGTAGAGAAAGAGGTGAAGAAAACATTGAAACAGAACTGGCAATGTGGACTTTGCAGAAATTTTCTAGTGTTTTGAATTGCACAGACTTTAACAAAATTATGAAACATACTCCTCAGGGGGAATATATTCCTTTATGATCATCTAAGAATTACAGCCACTTTAGCAACACTTTGGTGAGTAAAACAGAGACAATTTCAGAACAAGAAGAAACTGTGAGAGAGACCACATTCGTATAACTTTTATTACAGCATATTGTTAGAATTGTTCTGCTTATTATTATTGTTAATCTCATATTGTACCTAACATACATAAAATTTTATCATAGGTATGTATGTGTAGGAAAAAAAACATATGGTTTGATACCAAATGAAATATCAGGCATTCATTGGAGATTTTGGACCATTTCTCTGTGGGTAAAGTGTGACCTGTAGTAGAGCCACAAGGAAATAGATCAGTAGGGCTAGAGCATGAAATTCTAAAGTGCAGCATTTTTCGATGAAAAATTTGATAATAATTTTAAGATATAGCTCAAAGTCAATTTTAAAGAAATGTTAGTTTTAAGAAATATTGTTTCTAGTGATCAGTTTACCATAAACTTGGCTACAACAATCTGAGTCTCATCAAATTCTTTTCAAGTCACATTTCACTCATATTTTGTTCAAATCTAGTTCTAATGATTTCTTCCATTTTTGTATTTAGGGCAACAGAGAAGTTTGAAGATTGTAAAGCAAAACCTGAAACCCCCACCTCATGTATTGTTGAGTATTCTCCTGTGTATTTTGTCAACATTGAAGTCTGGGTAGAAGCACAGAATGCCCTTGGGAAGGTTGCATCAGATCATATCAACTTTGATCCTGTAGATAAAGGTATCTGTGATCCTAAATTTAAGAATTTATTACAGTGGTTTATAAATTACTTTTCAGATTTTAATTAATGTAAGAAAAACATTTAGTGATTTTTGCAAAGTCATTGAATCAGCAATATTAATATAATTTGGAAAAAGAAAAATAGCTGTAATATAACCAGACTCTCACCTGTTTTCACTTTGAATGTTATAGCTGATATTTGTCTAATTGTCAAACATTTTATACCATTGCAATTATATACTCCATTTTTATTCTCTTTTTAAAAGTTTAATTTATCACCAGGCGTGATGGTGCACATCTATAGTCCCAGCACTAGGGAGGCTGATGCAGGAGGATCACTGAGTTTGAGGGCAGCCTGGGCTACAAAGTGAGTT